GATTTCTTCTATTACCCATTGATGTGTAAGCAGGGTATTATTTAGTTTCCATGTAGTTGATTTTTTTTCCTTGCTCTTTCTGTTGTTAATTTCTAGCTTGATGGCATTGTGGTCAGAGAGAGATGTACAATCTTGTTAAGAGGTCCTTAGTGGTTCGGTGGTAGAATTCTCACCTTCCATGTGGGAGACCTGGGTTTGATTCTCAGTCAATGTACCTCATGCACAGTTACCACCCATCTGTCAGCGGAGGCTTTGTGTTGCTGTGATGCTGAACAGGTTTAAATGGAGTTTCTACGCTAAGATGGACTAGGAAGAAAGGCCTGGTGATCTGCTTCTGAAAATCAGCAAATGAAAACCTATGGATCACAGCCAGCCAATCATGGAAGTGGTGCAGGACTGGGTAGCGTTTCGTTCTGTTGTACATGGGGTCACCATGAGTCAGGGGCCAACTCCACAGCAGCTAACAACAGCAGTCTTATTTACACTATTAGTTTGCTTGACAACTCTTTTCTTTATAAATAGCATAAATAGCCTTCCTGGCCAGTATTTCTTGAAATGGAATCAAGGGGTTTGTAGAATATGTGATCTGATGGACCAAGAATCAGAGAGAACTTAAAGTTTTTGTCCTTTATTTTCATAATACTTAAAATTGTTATAAAGGCAAAGATTTTACAGTAATTATTTTCGATTCAAAAAACATTCTAGTAAAATAAGACCTTAATTTCTTAGGCTGAATGTTTCTCAAATTGTTTTCTGTGGACCTGAGGGGGAGGGGTTGAGAAAATTATTTTTCTTCAGAAGAGGACTTCTTAAGTTTAAGAAACAGTGTTTTTGACTCTACCACCTGCCTAACCCCACTCAAGTTTGGTTTATATGGAAAATTTTTTCCTTTTACTGTTTGCACTACTTTTAATGGAAAATAGAATCAAAGCACAATGGCAGACTCAAAACTGAGGATGCTGGATTTAAAAAACAAGCTGGAGGATGACCTTGAATGTGTACTGTTTGACTGCACAAGCATGTGATAAGATTAAGTGGTAATTTTGTATTTTTATATTTAATTTGGCACTTCCTCATTTTACATGATCCTCTGGGTAGAGATTATATCTGCATTTTTATAGGCAAATGGCTAAAACTTCAAGATGTTCAGTGGCCTATCTCCATATAGTGCCAGAGCTGGGGGTTGAATCTTGCCTGATCTTTCGACTCATCCTCTATTACTGTTACTTCTCAAAATGCAACAGATGTTCCACCCTTGCCTCACTTGAAATTCTTTTCCCTGCAGTGTTGTGTTAAAGCTCTCCCTGGCTCATTTTCTCCATCTTGTCATCCTCTCCTTCCTGAGTCAGGCCCTCTTTACTAATTCTATGCAGAGCTGCAGTAGTCTTTGGCATTCTCATCCTTGTTGATAGCTTCAGTTCCACCAACTCACTGCCCTCCGGATCTAGGCCTACCTCTTTGAGTTCTAAATAGACCTTTGTTCCCAACTCACTTGTGGACATGTCAGCCGCTCGTTCAACATGTCAAAACTACATTTAATTTTCACCCTAAACTGCTGCTCCTCCCTATCTGGACCATCCATCTAGTCACAGAAGGCAGAACCTGGGACAATCCTAGAATCCTCTCTTTCCCTCACATTCCCCAGCACTTCCCTACCCCATATCTAGTCAGTCATCAAGAACAACTAGTTCTCTCTGTTAAGTGTTTATAAAGTGCTTCACTTGTGCACTCCATTTTCTCTCATCTGGACTATTGGAACAATCTCCTGATCTCCATCTCCTGGTGATTCTAAACATATCTATGGTCATACCACTCCCCTTATAAGCAGGGCTTCGAACTGGTTCTTCCCCGTTCAGTCATGGCTGATGAAGTAAAACTGGAACAGACCCAAATTTTTACAATTTGGGTGATCCAGAACGATCACCGGAACGGAAAAAATTATGGGTGGAAGCCCTGGAATGGGAGACTTGGAAGAGGCATAGTGAGCCCTTTCAGGAGACTGAGAATGAGATTGGATTATTGGCAGGACTGTGGCGAGCGACAGACATTCAAAGAGGCAGGGTCGGCCGCCATCTTTGAGCTGTTTTTGACTCTGCTGAAAATCTGAGGACAAGAGATTTGGTTGCCATGCAACGCATACGCCACCCTTGTTTTCTAAGAAGGAGATTAGGTTTCTAGCAGGGCTGCCACCCATAATTTTTCCTGTTCTGGTTCACCCAAATTTTAAAAAATTGGGTCTGTTCTGGTTTTGCTTCTTCAGCCATGACTGAACTGGGAAGAACCGGTTTGAAGCTCTTCTTATAAATCCTTCAGTGGCTCACATGCGCCTACCAGAGAGTCTAATCTCTTGGGTTGGCATTTGAGGCCTTGGGTGATCTGGCTTTTGACTGTCTCTTACTCTTATCACTCACCACCATCCCTCCCCTTGCATCTTGCCCTCAGTACCACCTTGTGCTCCAGCAGGACAAATCCCCCTAATTCCTGGACATCTCCATGTCTTTGCATTCCCTGTTGCTGGAATACTTGACTCTCATTCTTCCAGACAAGGAAGCTCAAGGCATGCTGCAGGTTTCTGTTCGTTTTGGTTCCCCATTTCCAAGCACCATTCCTGGCACATACTGTAGGTTCAATTAATTTGAATGAATAAAGTCCGTGTAAGTTATTTCACTCACTTGTTTGAAGAAAGCAGACTTTTTAACTCTTCCCCCTCCTACTTCCTTGCTCTTGGTTTCAGTCAGCTGTTTTGAATGATTTCCCGGCAGTAACAGTTAAGGTGCTAATAGTGTGAGTTTGTTTCACCTGTTGTGTTTCTTTTGTCAGTTGTTGGTATCTGGGAAAGACATTTTCTTTTGCACTAGGACATTAACTGTATCCAAAAACCATATTCCTAGTAAGAATACGGAACATGAACTAATGGGTCAGAGTTCAGTACTGCAAGCAGTTTTCAGACCAAATTTGGTAATGTTGATTTAAAACTGCTCAACAAAAAAGCACCCAAGTAACAATCATGGAAAATATTAGTACTACTTTCTGTGTATAAATATGTTGTTGAGAGAATTGTTAATTGAAATCACTTTAGTCATAGAGAAAGACTATAAACTCTCTCTTGATCTTTTTAACAGGATCAGTTTGACAACTTAGAAAAACACACACAGTGGGGAATTGATATTCTTGAGAAATACATCAAATTTGTAAAGGAAAGGACAGAGATTGAACTCAGCTATGCAAAGCAACTCAGGTAAGTTGATATATTGAAAAAGATTATTTGTTAACTGCAATATGGATGTAAGGATCACTTATATTCTTATTTTATAGTATGAATGTATACTCCTTTAAATCTTTCTTTTCCCTTTTATGTAGAATAATGCTATTTCAATAAAAAATAACTATTTTTGATATGGAAAATTCATTTTCATAGAACAGTAAAAATAAATTATTTGCTGAATTTTACAACAGCCTGTTTTTTTTCAGTAAACTTTTTATTAAAATATATACAGAGAAGTGCACAAATCACAAGTGTACAGCTCCATCAAATTTTACAGTGAACATACCAATGTTAACAGCATCCAGGTCAAGAAACAAAGAATTACCAGCCTCGCTGGCCTCCTTGACCCTTCCAGTTCACTGCCCTCCTTCCTCCTCTACTGACTTCTAACAGCATAGGTTAGTCTTGCCTGTTTTTGAACTTTATGTGGACATAATTATGTAGTATGCATTCTTTTGTGTCTGGCTCCTTTTTTTTTTTAAATTTTATTTATTCTGTTATTGTTGTTGAGAATATACACAGCAAAACATACACCAATCCAACCGTTTCTACCTGTACAATTCCATGATGTTCATTACATTCTTCGGGTTGTGCAACCATTCTCACCCTCCATTTCTGAGTTCCTCCCCCACTAACATAAACTAACTGCCCCCTAAATATTTCTATTTACTCTTTTGAGTGCTGTTGTCACTTCGATCCCATATAGATAGTTCTTAAAAGAGCATAATGCTCAAGGCAGAACATTTCTTACTCATTAAGCTAAACTGTTGTTTGGTTTTAAGAAGACTTCAGGGAATATTTTTGGTTTAAGGTTTAACGATTACCTCAGGGCAATAGTTTCAGGGGTTCATCCAGCCTCCATGGCTCCAGAAACTCTAGAGTCCTTGAGAATTTGAAATTCTATTCTGCATTTTTCCGCTTTTGATCAGGATTCTTCTATGGAATCTTTGATCAAAATGTTCAGTAATAGTAGTCAGGCACCATCTAATTCTGATCTCATGGAAAAGGAGACAGTTGTTCATGGAAGCAATTAGCCACACATTCCATTTTCTCCTCCTCTTCCTGACTCTTCTTTCTCTGTTGCTTCAGGTGAATAGAGACCAATTGTTGTGCCTTGGATGTGTCTGGCTTCTTTTGTTCTATGATATGTTTGTAAGATTCATCCGCGTTGTTGCATGTGGTAGTAGTGTGTTTATTTTCATTGCTGTTTAGTATTTTAATGTCCGAATATGCCACAGGTTATCCATTCTGCTGTCACTGGGCAATTGGTTGTTTCCAGTTTGGAGATACAATGAATAGTGCTCCTGCAAGCATTTTTATACAAGGCTTTTGGTTCATATCTGTATACATTTCTAAATGTATACCTAGAGTGGAATTGCTGAGTCATAGGCTATGTGACCATAAGCCTCCTTTAGTAGATAGGGTCAGTTTAGCTTTAGTGGATAGAGTCAGTTTTCCAAAGTGTAGTATTCCCGCCAACAGTGTGTGAGAATTGCTGTGGAGCAGCATTTTAAATGTATTTTGGACTTCTTAAATCTTTAATGGTGACTTTCATTCAAGAAATTTGTGTTTTTAGATAAATGTTTAAAAGTTTTAGTGGAACTAAGCTTGAGTTTGAAGTGACACGCAAAATCTTTATTTCTTGTTGTATACTTGAATTGGTTTGTGCGTATTGTTTCAAGACTTGCTAAAAATCTAGAGGTGTTTGGTTTAGAAACATTTTGTTTTAATCCAAAGAACATCTGGCTTTAGAGTTATATAGGGTGTCATTGAAAGAATGTAGATTCTTGTTGCGTTTTGTTTCAATTTTTAAAATAAATATCTAAATGGTGCATATGGAATAATTTTATGAATGACAAGTTTTCTTTCCATTGAGTGAATAAAATGTAAAAAATATTGCTTGATGAAAAAAAAAATACCTCTGAATCAATATCAATTTCTAATACCCTGTGTGTATGTCATCCTCATTCATACTTTAAAGCTTTTAGAACTGAAACAAGGAATAGAGGATGGGCTGCTTTGCATTGGTTATTAAGTATTGCAGTGGTGGTCAAAATGTTGTCTTTCACGTGGAAACAGGTTGCATAACAGCTTTAGTCAAAACAACATGAAATATTTGCATTGGTCCTACATTATGGATTTGTTTATTTTTGTTCTCTTCCTTGTCTATTAGCATAAACTCCTCTTTCCTGGTGCATTAGTCCATTATCTTATTTTGTGCCTAGAGGTTTGTTACTGTTGTTGTTGTTAGGTGTTGTTAGTCGGTTCCAACTCATAATGACTCTCCATACAACAGAAAGAAATACTTCCCCGTCCTGCGCCATCCTCACAATTGTCAGTGTGTTTGAACCCATTATTGTAGCCACTGTGTCAATCCATTTTGTTGAGGGTCTTCCTCTTTTTCACTGACCCTCTACTTTACCAGGCATGATGTCCCCCTCCAGGGACTAGTCCCTCCTGATAACATGTCCGAAGTTTGTGAGATGAAGTCTTGCCATCCTCGCTTCTAAGGAAAATTCTGGCTGTAATTCTTCCAAGACAGATTTGTTCATTCTTCTGGCAGCCCATGGTGTATTCAACATTCTTCACCAACACCTGTAAAAATGGCATGGGGAGGCATCTGACTTCACTAGAGGGAAGGAGAATCAAGATCAACAACCTAGGGCTGATTTCTATGAGGTTGAGGTCAGACATACCTCCTCTTTCCACCATTTTTACCAATTCTGACACCAACCGTCCCTCCCATGGCACTCTCTACTTCTCTGCTGAGTTCAGTAATTCATTGCAGTGGCCACGCAGAATTCAGAGACGATACGCACAATTTTGGGGTTTATTAGAGAATTAACAGGTTATGATTCAGGTTCAGGAACACTCAGGATACAGTTCTCCCATCAGGACAGCCTCTTCTCAGCCATGCCTGCAGGCACGCCTCTCTCTGGCCCCTTGGCCTCTGCCCTGCTCAAGCACGTATTACAAAGCTCTTTTAGCTCTGCAGATAAGTGCCCTGAGGCATCCCACTCTGCCAATAAGCCCAAAGGCACTCAGCTATAGCTCTGTGGGTCAGCAAACCCCAGCTCCACCCAGCCCAGAGACACTTTCTCAGCCAGCAAGCCTCCTGCCCGAAGGCACTCAGCTTTCTTGTGCTACTGCTGCTGCTGTTTCTCTGCTGCCGCTTCTCGCAGTCTTTGGTGTTCAGCACTCTCTCTCGGTCTCCTGGTTCCAGGAACTCCTCAGCGCAGGGATCTCAGGTCCAAAAGATGTGCTCCAATCCCAGCTCTCCTTTCTTGGTGGTATTGAGATCCTCCTTTCCCTGCTGGGATGGCTCATTTTAAGCCTACCTGGATGGCAAAACTGACCAATCTCCTTGTTAGGGTTCCGTATACCTATTAGCATGATCCCACCCAATCATCTGGTGGGAGTTAAAAGACTATAGCTAAAAGGGTCATATTAAGCAGTTTATTGCACCGCAGTACCATAATTCAAATACATCAATTTTTCTTTGGTCTTCCTTAGTCATTGTCCAGCTTTTGCATGCATATGAGGCTATTGAAAATACCGCGGCTTGCGTCAGGTGCACCTTAGTCCTCAAGGTGACATCTTTGCTTTTTAAAACTTTAAAGAAGTCTTTTGTGGCAGATTTGCCCAATGCAGTACATCATTTGATTTCTTGACTGCTTCTATGGGTATTGACTGTGGATCCAAGTGAAATGAAATCCTTGACAGTTTCATTATTTTCTCCACTTATCATGATGTTGCTTGTTGGTGCAGTTGTTAGGATTTTTGTTTTCTTTATGTTAAGGTATAATCTATACTGAAGGCTGTAGTCTTTCATCTTTATCAGTAAGTGCTTCAAGTCCTCTTCACTTTCAGCAAACAAGGTTGTGTCATCTGCTCATCACAGGTTGTTAATGAGTCTTCTTCCAATCCTGATGCTGCTGCCTTCTTCTTCAGATAGTCCATCTTCTTGGATTATTTGCTCGGCATACAGATTGAATAAGTATGGTGAAAGGATACAACCCTGACACACACTTTTACTGATTTTAAACCATGCAGTAGCCCCTCGTTCTGTTTGAACAGCTACCTCTCGGTCTACGTACACGTTTCTCATGAGTGCAGTGAAGTGTTCTGGAATTCTCATTCTTCACAATGTTATCCATAATTTGTTATGATCCACACAGTTGAATGCCTTTGCATAGTCAATAAAACACAGAAACATCTTTCTGGTATTCTCTGCTTTCAACCAACATCCATCTGACATCAGCAATGATATCCCTTGTTCCATGTCCTCTTCTGAACCTGGCTTGAATTTCTGGCATTGTTCCTGTTTTCCTGTCTCTTCTTGCCTCCTCATCTTTGCTTTTGGGCAGATGTTGCCCATTTGGTCTCATACACTTGATTAAACTAAGAAGCACCTTCCTCATGTTGTGTTATTGTTTATTTTATAGGCCTGTTTAATCTTTGGCTGAAAGGTGGACTTAAGAAGTGGCTTCAGTTCTGAGTTAGCAAGTTGTCCGGGGGCCATAGTCTCAGGGTTTCCTCCAGTCTCAGTCAGACCAGTAAGTCTGATCTTTTTTGTGAGTTTGAATTTTGTTCTACATGTTTCTCCCACTCTGTCTGGGACCCTCTATTGTAATCCATGTCAGAGTAGTTGATGGTGGTAGCTGGGCACCATCTAGTTCTTCTGGGCTCAGGCTGGAAGAGGCTGTGGTTCTTGTGGTCCGTTAGTCCTTTGGAATAATATTTTCCTTGTTTCTTTGGTTTTCTTCATTCTTCTTTGCCCTGAACATGATGGGACCAATAGATGTATCTTAGATGGCCACTCACAATCTTTTAAGACCCCAGACGCTACTCACCAAAGTAGGATGTAGAACGTTTTGTTTATGAACTATGGTATGCCAATTGACTTAGATGTCCCCTGAGTACAACTGTGTTTGAATTATCTTAAGCATAATTTTACTGGCATGTGATATTAA